GGTTTGCTCCTCCTCCATTAGGCATCCTATCCCCAACCCTTTTGAGTTGCCGCCGTCGCCTCGCTACCTGGGTCCGCTCACTGATGAAGGCGTTGATCGAGGGCGACGTCATTTTTTGTCCGTGCAAATACGTGCCACTACGAGTGCCGCCTCCTCCGGCAAGTGGCCCATCCCCTCCGTCCATGCCACAACCTGCTTGGCCTAGCCAAATTTTCTGATTTCCATGGACTGCTCATGAGTTGTTGCCCTCTCCGGTGTCTGGATAGCTGCGTGTCGCCGTTCGTTGCCATAGATCTCTCTTGCGAGTGCCTCTACAGGTATGTAACCTCATTCATATCTCCTTGGACACCCTTCTAAGTTCTAAGCTTTGATTGTGCCAGGCTTGGTGTTGACCCGAAATATTTGTCTTCATAGGTCGATGTGGGGACTGGCAGGCCTATTGATCATTGCATCATGTTTCTGTTATTAAATTAAGACGATTCTGTTTGTTATACATTTCATTTCGAGCAGTAACGAACTTCATGATTTTTCTTTGACTGACATAGTTAGCCACGTTTTTTATTGAATCTTTCTTCCCTAAACTTATGTGTCTCCCATTTCCATCAGTTGAGATGACACATAGAGGGTAGATTCTCTGTTTCATGTATATTATTGAAGATTTTATATCCATATTAGTTATTTACATTGCACTATAATAAATCTGTAGGTTAGGATCACATTTAATAAAGCTATACTTTCTGAAAGTGTTGGCTTCTTGGGGTGCTGGTAAATGTCAATGGAGTTGGAGGCGTTCCATCAAACACGAACCAGTGAACTTCTTTAGCATAGCCATATATACTAATGGGGTTCTGCGGTACTCTTTGCAGTTTAGTCACAAGGTAATGGCTGTTGCTTTTGGCATATTGACCCTGGCCATGTTAGACAGGTAAGTAAAGTACTTATATCTGAAGATTGGTTGGTGAAACTACAATGCAATCATATATAGTAGGTTTCATTTATCAGGTTAGCATCCCACCCATTTTTCCCTTTAACCTTGTATATCATTTTTTGTGCAGTATTATAGTGCCTTCATTTCATTCTGAATTGTTTCATTGATGTAAATTGTTTTCGCAAGTCAAAAAAATTGGAGAGAAGATATGCTTTTTGCTAACTCCATTTTCCAAAATTTTGTCTGATCAATGACAACCACTCTTTGTTGTTTTCCCCACCAATTTGTGAAACGTAGCCCATGCTGATGTACAGCCAGAGTTGCATTTGGCTATTGGAACCGCCCTCCCACACATCTTTTTAACTGGTAACCACTTAATTTTTCCTTAATCTTAATGAAAATGCAGAACCCCAGCCGTTTATCCTACAAAAATGTTTTCAATCAATCTCAACATATTTATTCATATATTTGCATGAATACTTGCAATCCTATTGAAAATATTAAAAATAAAATGTACGGGCGCAGCAACGCGCGCCATCATGATCTAGTGTGACAGGACAATACAGAGCAAAACGAGTTGATGTGATGGCCGGAGACTGAACCAAATATATAGATGCAAGAGGTAATATTATCGGGAGTCATACAACTTGCGCTTGATGTTCGGTTTAGTGCTAGAACTTTAAAAATATAAATTTATGGTCATCTAACTTGACATTACATGCAAATACGGTCACAAAAAACATATGCGGATGTATCAGGGTGTATGGCATCACTAGTCAATGAGCCATGGCGCTCCGTCGACTCATTTTTGAAAAAGCACCCTCGCATTTATTTATTTGCCAGGAAAGTGGCCACTGCAACGCATTTTTACACCAGACCACCTCGCTTGTTTTTCTTTGCAAAAAAGGCTGACCACTGTACTGCAAATAGGTACAAAAATTCACACAAAATTGGGGACACCGGGTCTCAAACCTGCCACCCACGTTTACTACACAAGCCAATCTAGCCAACACACCCTTCACGTACGAATGTTTGGTAAGATAGCAAACCAACATGCACTCACGATGGAGCTTAGATATGAATTATTTTTTTGAACGGAAGACAGGTCTCGAGCACCAGACGACGTATACTTTTTTTTTTGAGATTTCGACCGACGTATACATGTATTGAGCACGGACGCATGTGGAATTTAAATGAGCTGCAGATACTGCGGTCCATTTTGCACTTCTTATTTCTTTCAAGATATTTGTAAAACATAATTAATAAAGTTATGTCAAACAAATTTTATACATGCAAGCAATCATTAGTAAATAAAACATTTAAAATATAAGCATGTTTATTATATAAAAATATTTAGTTAATACCGACTTTGAATTTTTTATTTCATAAATATGTTTAAGGAATAAAAAAAATACACTTGTGGCTTATGTTTAAATTATGAAAATAATGAATTCAAACATTTACTAGATATTACCGAATATTCACTTGTGTATAAATTTTACACATGACTTATATTAAAAAATATATAATTGAAATATTAGACACGATTGAATATTCATATAAACAGTTTAATTTTCAATTTTGAATATTTTTGGTTATATAAACGTTGAATTATACAAATGTGTACATAGTTAGTGAAATGTTTGTATGACTAGAAAATATTTTAATTGTAATTTTGTAAAATATTATTTTAAATGATACAAACATTTTTATAATTAATACATAATATTTAAATATATGAATATTTTTAAATAATACATGAATTTTTTAAGTAGGTTATTATCTTTGTATGTACAATATTCAGAACACATGTATATTTATATGTTATTTTATTTCTGAAATTATAATTTACATACTATCTACAAGTTTCTAGAGTGAAGTGCACCCTAGGTCCTCGAACTATTTCGAAGGTGTCATGTAGGTCCTCAAACTAGGAAAAGTGTAGGTCCTCAAAATCCTTGAAGTGTAATAAGTGTGTATATATGTGACACATCCAAAATAGTTCAAGGATCTACATGATACCTTTGAAAATTGAGGACCAGGATGACACATATATTGCACTTTGAGGATCTGGATGACGATTTTCATAGTTCGAGGACCTACGTGACACCTTTGAAATAGTTTGATAACCTATGATGCACTTCACTCAAGTTTCTACTACATTAAGACTAGTTGTTCACTGTAGATGTGTACACGTGCAGGTTGTAGTGGCAAGAACGTCTTGTGTGCTAATCTTTGTTTGTGTGTTAGAGAGCTGGCGGCCACACCTTTTTCTGTAGAAAGAATAAATGTGATTTAAGCTCCACGTTTAATACATGTAGGTTTGCTATCCATGATGGGAACGTGAAGGTTAGATTGGTTAGAGTGGCTTGTGTCGTGATCGTTAGTTGGGATTCGAGAACAGGCGCCCTTATTTTTTGTTTTGATCTCCGTACAATTATCCAGTACAATGGTTAGCTTTTCTACAAATAAAAACAAGCGAGAGAGTTTTGTTTAAAATATGTTGCTGTGGTCGGCTTTTTCCCTAAATAAAAATATGCGAGGGTGTTTTGTGTAAAAGTGAGTAGGCCGAGCGCCGTGCCTCACTGACAGGTGAGGCCATACACCATGATACGTCCGCATATGCGCTTTGTGACTGTATTTGCATGTGATGTCAAGTTAGGTGATCACAAATCCGCATTTTTAAAATTCTAGCACCAAACTAAATATCAAACGCAAATGCAACGCCTGTGTGGCGTACTACCTCCGTCTCAAAATATAAGATGTTTTTTAGCCTAGTACATTTGTACGAAGGATTAAATCAGATTGTATGGTACGACAACGAAGCATCCGGGCTACGTGAGTATGTGTTACTGCTAACTGGGATTGTGTGAATTCTACGTAGCAGTTGGTGAGGTTCCAAATTCGACCCAATGTGTGGTTTGCGTCCAGCCCGTTCTACCATTAATTCTTTCTGTAGTTCAGATGGACGACTAGACTTTGGTGCAGACCCTGGCATCCTTGTACACCTTGCCGGGCCGGCACACGTAGCCCTGCTCCGGGGCGCAGTGCGCGTCCCGCGAGCACACGCACATCCCTTCCAGCGCGCACCCGGGCGCGTCCGTCGTCGGCGCGGCGCCGCCGCCGCTGACACCGAGCATCATGTCGCTCCAGCCGCTGGAAAAGAGGCCGTCGGGGTCGTAGGCGCTCTTGACGCGCAGGAACCGGCGCATCCCAGGGTACTTGCTCGCGGCGCCGGCGAAGGCGAGGTTGCGGTTCTTGCCCCAGTGCGGCAGGCCGCCGTACTTGAACAGCCCCATCTGCTCGATCTCCTCCAGGAAGTCCTCGTGGAGCCGCGCCCTCCGTGGGTCGCGGCTGCGGTAGTAGGTCATGTCGAAGTCCACCATGTCCGCCGACTCCCCGGCCGCCGCCAGCTTCCCGAGGTGCGCCGTGGAGGACTTGACGTAGCGGATGAGCATGCCGTCGTAGAGCTCCAGGCCACAGAGGGCCTTCGGGTTCAGGTCCCGCAGCCGCTGCACGTCCTGGACGAACGCGCCCGCGCGGCTCAGCGGCAGGCTGAAGGTGGTCTGGTGGAAGAAGCTGGAGTCGCTCACGCGCGGGTCCCAGGCGCAGGCGGTCTGGAGCTTGTCCTCTGGCCCCGTCAGGCAGCCGCCGGACGCCTGCATCCGGTCCTGCCGCCCCACCACCGGGTACCCCGTGAACAGCCCGCCGCTCCTCCGCGCCAGCCCGTAGCCGGCCACCGACAGCGCGGCGTGGGTCACCCTCGCGGTCAGGCACTTGCCGCCGCTGCCGCCGTTGCCCACCCGCTCGGACGCCTCCTCGGCCAGCCGGTTGACCTTGATCACCGCGGCCGAGGTGGGGCGGAAGCCGATGAAGTCGAGCACGCCGTCGCCGGAGGCGTTCATCGGCAGCCTGTCATCCATGCGGTACACCGCGCGCCCGTGGCCCGGGTACCAGGCGATGTCGGCGAACTCGTGCTGGTACCCGAACTTGGTCACCTGCTCCGCGAGGTCGTCGTCGTCCCGCTCCGTGAACGTCGTCGACCGCTTGAACAGAGGTTGTAGCGCCAGAGTCACCTGCATGCAAACCATCGTACAAATTTGTTAGACCTTGCACAAAAAAAAGGGAAATTACTCCTACGTACATACAGATTCAAAATATACTGTAGTTCTTAGTCCAAGTGTGGGTATACATTGGTCGTAATAACATCATTTTATATTAGAACGGAGGGAGTACTTGAGATAGGAAATTTGTTAGACCTTGCACAAAAATGGAAAATACTCCAACGTATAGATTCAGGTCTGAAGCTGTACAACTGCCCTTACTGCTACGTACAGATTTAGGTCTTCACGTGCACATTTTAAAACTAATAGTTGTATACTCCCTCCATTTCTTTATATAAGATGTATTATTTTCAGCGTGATGACCAAAGAACATATTATAGACAAATTATAATAAAATTGCCCTTGTCTAATTCCTTAATTAGCAGCAAGTAAATCACTTCAGCTTGGAAAGAAAGAGATACGCAATCAGGGGAGAGATATTTTTTTTCTCTACAATGAAAGATACATGAAAATACTTTTATTTTTTTGGAGGACGAAGAAGGGAATGACAAAGAATTCAAACAAATGCACATCATATTGTGAAATTTTATCAAAAAACAAATACACCCAACATAAAGAAATGGAGGGAGTATGTTGTACACCATCCGTTCCATAATATAAGACGTTTTTTCTTATATTGTGGGACTGGCGAAGTATTTATTTGGGAATCACATTGTTGTTACAACTTTGCCTTTCAATCTAGGGAAATAAGTGTTTCTGATTTAGTACTAAATTGGTAGAAAATTCCATATGTGTGTGCATCACGTTTTGTGTTTATTTGGTTGATCTCACAGCTTGCCGCTAAGAACATACTATAGCTCTAACTGATGCTCAAATCTTGTACTTTGTGATAAATATAACTAATGTTGCTTTTGTAGGTTTTGCTACAGAGGAGGGGACCAAGCGGTGGCTAGCTTTTCCCCTGGACCAGTCCCAATATGTACTTCATAGGGCCTTCGAATTCTTCATCACCGGTAAACTTGGTACATTGGTGACAATGGGAATAATGGTTCCTCGGCTATCCCCATGTCGAACTCCTTCATTCTAGTGGCGTCGATGAGTCGGAGGATGGTGTGATCTTAAGCACTCGGTCTAGCATGATTAGCGTTTGTTCATGATGGTGTTGTCCTACGAAGGATGACATTGTGACATGTTATTGTTCTCCAATTCCATCTTCGCCCGACTAAGCTCAGCCAGATATGCTTTGTCGGGGAAGTTGTGAGGTTTATGTCTCCCTCCTCTGTCTGGTCTGAGAGTTGAGATGATCTTCTGATCCGTCTTAGTGTCAGCTTCTCCTAAGCCGTGATCTATCCAGTTCGCGATCGGCGTCTTCTGGTCTACATCGACGACTTCCCAGTTGTTCTTTCTACAAGATGCTGGATTTCAACAAGGTTGCTCAGCTGAGACAGAGGCTTGGAGGCAGCGACGAGATTTGCTCACTGCACGCCGCCGATGAATGTAGAAGGAAGATGGTGTTGATTTCTTCAAGGACTTGACTGTAGCTTTTATTCTTGTTTGGAAATTCTTGTACAGGCTAGATTTATTTAATATATGCCCTTTGCCCTTTCTATGAGAAAACATAACCGGCAGAGATAGAAATGGGAGGAATAATAAGAAGCACAAAAGGAGATGTGGAAGATGCAGGTGGATCATGTGGCCACCTCTGCACCTCCGCATCATATTAGCGCTCACGTGGGCTCTACCTGTCAGTGTGGCCATGAGTTGATCAAGTTTTTATTGTATTCAGAATTAGCACAAGTGTTGTGGTCCGCTAGTCGACACCCAAAAATGTGAGATAAAATCTCGTGAGTTACCCTAGACTTTTCTGTATCAAAAAAGTTATCCTAAAATTTGCAACAACATATCGAGAAATAGCATATATAGGGGAATGTAGTGGACAACCCTATGTTTGCCTGAACTACTACTTATTTCCATTTCATTCTGTTAAGTGTTTTTGTGAATCATTCGACATTTAGGTGCAAGTGTCGGTCCGAAAAAAAAATCGAGTAAAAGCATAAAGTTTACATCATGTCGGCACGTGAAGGCAAGCAAAACACACGGCCTGTTTGTCTACCTTGTTCCAAAGGTGTCCTTTTAAGTGTAAACTATAATGCCAAAACAGTTAAAGTGACATGCATGATTGCGACACACACACCCGCTGTGCGCTGCATGTTTGTACTTTTTGACGAACCATGTTTTGTACTCCAAGTATCATCCACCGGTGGTGCCTCCTTCTTGAGCCACAGCCCTCCGGTGGATCGGGCACGTACGCCTACTCCATACGTACTCATCGACATTTCGCTTTAATATACTCCCTCCATCCCAAAATTCTTGTCTTAGATTTGTCTAGATATAGATATATCAAGTCACATTTTAGTATTAGATACATCCGTATCTAAACAAATCTAAGACAAGAAATTTGGGACAGAGGGAGTACATACTCATGGTCAGCATAAATGTTGCATCAAGTACGTACGTGCATGGTTCAGTTGCTAAGCACTAGCACGCAATACTTTCTACCACTAATCTTGACGTAAGTATACTAATATTGATACTATTGTTAATCAACATATCTATCTAGGAGTAGTATATGTCATTGAGGTTAATGCAAGTCAAGCATTAGATCAGAGTCATTATTACTACCATATATGAGGAAGACAGTGTGATCTTCTTCTAACAAACATGCGCTGAAATACTTAGGTCAGCTGATAAATGTACTCCCTCGTGTCATCAACTCATCATAGTGTGTACAGCAAAGGGTGTAGATCAGCTTGCCTGAGAGATGACGCCCAGGACGCCGAGGGAGACCTTGGCGGCGTCCAGCTCCGGGTCGGCGGCCGCGAGCACGCGCACCCTGGCGTAGCCCTCGGCGGCCGGCGCGGGCGTGACGATGCGCATCCCGACGACGTACTCGTGGACGGCGCTGCCCTTGCCCCACAGCGAGCTGCCGTGGGCGCCCGTGCCGAGCATGCCGCCCACCGTGAGCCCCCACCAGTAGGGCGCGTAGGGCAGCGCGAGCCCGGCGGCCGCCGCCGCCGCGATGAGCTCCCGCAGCGTGACGCCGCTCTCCACCGTGATCTCTGCCCGGGCCGCGTCCACGGCCACGACGCGGTTCAGCCACCGGGTGCTGATGGCGAGGCCACGGCCGTCGCCGGCGCCGGGGCACGCCAGCGGCGGCATGCTGTGGGCGTACCTGGTGGTGACCTTCATCTTGGTCTTGGCGGCCGTGGAGTTCGCCACCGCGCGCACCAGCTCCGCCTCGGTGGTAGGGTAGGCCACGGCGGCGGCCCGGCACGTGGAGCGGTCCGGGAACACGCCGTACGCGGTCGAGAAGGTGCAGTCGGCCGTGCCGCCGCCCGACGAGCACTGCACCGGGTCCGCCGGGGTGCTAGCGGCCGCCCGGTGAGCCGACGGCGCGGTCAGTGTCATGAGGAGGAGGAGGAGGGCCGGCAGCTGCACTGGACTCATCATCTTGCACATCTGGGTTTACGTGTGGCTAACGACGTCCGTGGCTGCTATATGACCACTTGGAGCCCTGTACCCTACAGGTATTATAGGACGCAATGGGCTATATATATGCAGCGAGTTTGCTACTTTCATTCGTCTAGGTAACATGGGCCTATAGGATGAAAGTTCCAGTGAAGAAATGAGATGGAGAACCAGCCATATGGACAGTTGGGTTCTTATTCTGTTTCAGCAGTTGAGCACACATGCATGGTTCTGTAAAAGTTGCTAGTGCCCCTTTAACTAGCTAGCTAGCTAGGTAACATGGGCCAAGGAAGAGCATCTAGTGCTTTTTTGGTTGGAAAATATTCCTATATGCAGATTTGAACAGGTTGGAACTGAACGAATTTTATTTTCTTTACCGAATGTATATATCAGTGCATTAGTCTCGTAACAATAAAATTAGCGTGCAATGCGATGAAAACTAGCTAGTGCAAGGCATGTCGTTTCCATTTCCTTAAAAGGAATGCCTTCCAGGTGGATCGCTGCACTATGCATGCCTTTGCTTGCTCGGTGGGCAATTAGAGCTAGATAAGGCTTGAAGCATTACCTTCTTCATTCATGTGGAGCAGCCGCACGCGCGCATACATGCATGCGTAAATATCGATCGACCGGCCGCTTGCTGGGTGCAGTGCAATATCATCGTACGTGTGGGTTTTTAGATGGCCATTGCAAAATAAGTGCAGGGCGCACGCGATTTGCCGCAGTAATCAAGCGGCTGGAGTCCAAGTGCTCGATCGGGTGCGCGCCGGCCGGTCACCTGGTGGTGACTGGGTGGGTAAGATTGTGGTTGTGGTCTGGGTGGATTGGTCATTTCGATCGATCTACTCCATGCAGCCGGATCTGCGGGTGTTGGTGTGGTCGTGCGCGGCGCACTTTTATCAGTGCTTCCTGCAGATCTTTTGATGATGGTGTGTTGAACTTTGGGGTCCGAGCTGTACGCGGCAAAGGGGGAGCTGGCCCGACGCCGACGGTGGAGCCGGTTGTGGTGCAGCGAGACTTTGCAAGGCCACCAAAAGGTGATGAACAAGATATATCGATGCACATGTTATTCATCCCCTCGGCCGCGCGCATGACGGTGGAGCGAGGGGAAAGGGCCCATCCATCATCGCTGGCGTGACGGAGGTGGGGGTCCATGTGGAAGACAGACGGCCGCGATGCCAACGAGGAAATGGGATACAACTCTTCAAGATCTGCTTAGTTCCATCCAAACTTCATCATGGTTATCATGAATAGATCACCCAAGTTCAGGCCCACAAGCAGTGGAATAATCGTCCTATTAAGACTCGCTTTCGCATGTTCTATAATGTGTGGTGCGAGTGACTAGAGGAGGTCTTTGAGTTCGAATTAGGGAAGTTTTTTTTTCGAATGTGCTATTTGTAACACCTATTCCAGACCCGGGTCGGAGGTTGATGGGTTCAGGGTGTGAGGCGTTGTCGGTGTCAAAGATGGTGGCATGGTTTAGAGGGAGGTCAGGGCGGCGGTTAGACATCTAGATCAAGCTAGCGTATGTGCTCTAAGAGCATCTACACTCAGGCCCCTCATATCCGTCTCAAACGTCCGGGCAGGTTGTTCGTTCATTGATGGTAAAAAAAAAACCAATCCAATCGGCACTACCGGACTCGCGGTCTACGCCTACGGCCACGGGCCGTCGGCATAGATCTATGCCTACGGTTGCCGTCAGCCTAGGCCCGTCGGCGTAGATGTCGTCAGCGTAGTCTTGTCAGACCGTCGGCATAGTATAGCCGTCGGCAGTGTTTTCCGTCTGACGGCAACGGACGACGCCGTCAAAAGCGCTGACGAATCACGCAATGCCACGTCTCAGAGCTATGCCGACGGCAAAGCCGTCAGCATACCTCTGCCACGTGGAAACCCGTGGTACTCCTGGTGGCAGGGCTATGCCTACAGCAAATCCGTAGGCATAGATGAATCTATGCCGACGGCTTTGCCGTAGGCATATCTCTGCCACGTGTCATCTCCTGGTTCCTCCTGGCAGCAGGGCTATGCCTACGGCAAAGCCGTCGGCATAGATTATCAGCTATGCCTACGGCTTTGCTGTAGGCATAGATGTGCCACGTCGCAAGCCCTGGTAACTCCTGGGCGTATATATGCCGACGGCTTTGCCGTAGGCATAGTTTTTTTCCCTGTTTTCTCTTTTTCAATTCATTTGACAGCATTTCAAAACAGAACAATATGAAATTATGCAGAAATATGACAATTCATCATGTAAACATACTCAAGTTCATCTAAACATACTCAAGTTCACCATCATCATCTAAACATACTCAAGTTCATCACATCATCTAAAGATCATCACCGATGGAAGTTCATGAACATAAAAGTAGTGCAAGACATGAAACATCATAAAAGTAGGAATATGAAAGGCATGGCACGATGGCCACATGCACGGAATCATCAAGCAAGACCACCTCCGCCAAAACCACCACCTCCGACAAAACCACCTCCTCCTCCGCCAAAACCACCACCACCTCCGCCAAAACCGCCATCGCGACCACCACCACTCTGCCAGATCGGAGTGACTGGGGTCGACGGAGCAGGAGTCGAGCCACTGGTCCCCTACATGTTTCAGAAAAGATTCTAACGGTAAATATGATATGATAGTGTTTCATGAACGAGAACTAGTTTGCCAGTAGTTAAGCAAATGTACTAACCGGACCATCACTGCCTAGTGCCACCCATTCATCGAACATGGGCACGTGTGGGGGTTCTCCCGCAGGTGGTGGTGGGGGTCCCATTTGTGGTGGTCCGTGCGGTTAGTCCAAGACGCCAACATAGCCTGAATGTTAGTTAAACAAGCAAACTAGAAGATCAGAAGGAATGAAAGTGCAAAAATTTAGCTTGGTTTTAAGAGGGCAAAACTAACTGTCATCATCTGACGGTTGTAATCATCGTTTGCCTTCACTCGTTTCAAGTACTCCCGCACCTCGAGATTCCTATGCTCGACAAACTCCTTATATGCCTACATAATTTATGTTGTTTCTAAGTGAGCAATGCTGAAAATAAACTGAGAATGCTAGATAGAAAAAGATAAAGAGGAAGTACTTACAGCATGCTGGCGGGCTAAGGGAGTCTGTGAACGCCCCGTACTCTCTAACTGGCTCGGGTTGGTAGCCCGAAGCCGTGTGTACGAGATTGAAGGAGTGATCAAGCCGTCGAAACACGGATACCGGCCATTCTTCTTCCCCTGGATGGCCACCACCGCCGTGTCGTCGATCTGAGACTGGGCGACCTCAGCAACAGGAACATCCGGATGCAACTCCTGATAGTGATGAATGTAAGACCCCAGGTGCTCCTCGGCCTTGCCGTAGTACTAGCTCTCGCCCTACTTGCGATGACTCCGCTCGCGGGCCAGCTTCCACGACTCCATGTCCGAGAGCGGCCTCTTCAACTTGTCCTCCTACAACGTCAAATAGAAGTCAGCCATACATAAGAACATGACGGTAAAGAAGAACAAAAATGCATCATGCACATAGATATACCTTCATGGCCTTGAAGCCCCAGTGGTTCCTGTTTCCTTGGCCGTGTGTCCCGTCGTCTCCACGGTTAGCCCGGGCCTTGATGCTCTTGGCAGCAAACTCTGCATCGGCGCCGAGCCACCTATCCACCAAACTCGCCCATCCGTCCTGCCTTCCATAGCACCAACGAGGAACAACCTATGCAAATTTTGGAAGCATGACATGTGAGCACGAAACATATAGTTGACTGCTTGAAACAATGAAAAGTTAGTAATAGTTACCATCATGAACCGCTCCCTGCTCAAGGTAAGTCGTAGCTTCTGCGCTTGAGTTTTGGTCATCTTTTGGTGCAGGTAGTAGTGGTAGTACTGCGAGATGGCAACCCAGCGCACCTCGTACTGCAACTGACGAGCTTTCTTCTTCGCAGCCGCAAGCAAGACCACGTCGACTCTGGCCTTGTGCTCGTCAAGAACTCTATAGAGTTGTTGCAATCATGCATAAACCAGAAGCAAACAAGGCATGAGTTGAGTGATTCAATGATAAACTATGAACGAAACTAAAGACAAGTGATTCAGAAGAGAACTTACCCAAAATTTGGTGATCACGGCCTTAGCGGTCGTCCCGTACTCCGCGTTGCTGCAAGCCTCATAGTGGGCCCAGCTCGTGGCCAAAACCCGCTGCTGCGGGTCCCTGTCTGGCCGCGGGCAGAATAGGCCAGGCCAAAACTCCTTCAACAGGACAGTGATAAGGCCGTTCGGTTTACGGCCCTTTCCGCGAAGGATCCAGTTTCTGCAAAAGAATCAAATGATTGCCATGTCTATCACAAATATTCTGTTGATCAACTCTAGCATTAACATTATCCTTTGTCTTATCAGGAATGTTGAGGATCGTGTGAAAAAGGGACTCTGCAACATTCTTTTCGGTGTGCATCACGTCTATGTTGTATGGAAGTTTGAGGTCCTTAAAATAGGGAAGCTGCGTGAAGGGGGTAATGTGAGTCCAGTTGTGCGTCTCACCATATCCTTCAAAAAAAATTCCCTTTACCTTTTCCTTTGCCCTCGCCTTCATCTTCACCTGTGGCTTTGCCTTTGCCTTTGTCTTTCCCCTCACCGGCAGGCTTAAGAGCTTTCAGCTGAGCAAGCACATCCGCACCAGAAAACGTTGGAATCTCGTTTACTTCATGGACAACTTTGCCTTTTGTGAAGTTCTTCTTGTCTTCCCTATCAGGATGGTCTGGAGGGAGGAACTGTCGATGCAGGTCAAATGCAACATACTTGCCACCCTTCTTCAGCCAAATGAAAATCAAGGCCTGCATGCACACTGGGCAAGGCATCTTTCCACTTGTACACCATCCGCAGAACAGGGCATAACCGGGAAAGTCATGCATGCAATATTGTAGCCAAACTTTCATCAAGAAATTTTTCTGCAAATGACGGTTGTATGTAAACCTCGGGAAGTACCAAGAATGGTGCAAATCATCCACCAATGGCTTCATAAACA